TCAGAGACCTCCACACACACACACACGCGCAGAACACACACACACGCACACGCGCAGAACACACACACACACACACACACACACACACACCACACGCTGAACACACACACACATTACTGCCATTCTGAGCCAAACCTCTTCAGTCCCGATTCACCCGCAGACAGCCTGAGTTATGATGAATCCTGAAGGAGCGTTTCTGGAGATCTGGTGCTAGTAATGAGGGAAGCTTGCTTTTATTCCCAGATTTAAAAAAAAATATCTATATGAATCTCACAATTCTGACTTTTTTGCTCAGAATCCCAATTTTATACCTTTACAACTCAGAATCCTGTTTTTAGATCTCTTATTTTAGACTTTTCCCCACACTATTCCTATTTTATATCCCACGAATCACTTTTCCCCCCCAGATTCCCGATTTTATATCTCACAATTTAGGCTTTTTCCCTCAGAATTCGGATTCTACATCTTGTGATTCAGACTTTTCCCCCTGAATTGTGAGATAGAGTCAGTTCCCTATTTGATATTTTCCTTCCTGGCGTTAATAAGCTTCCATACATAGAAAATGTCACGTTTTAGAGTGCTCTCTCAAATACCATTTACTTTTATATAATGAAACGTTGTGACGTAATGTTATCCATTATAATGTTACACATTACTTCATATTCCACAGACACTCTCACCTGAGATGTAAAGCGGCTCAAATTAAAAACAGACATGATTACTGGTAAAACACGTGACTTCAGTTCTTTATTTCATTTCCACACCTCGTATTTCCAGAATAACACAAGAGCTCCATACAGTAAAATCAAAGATTCCAGTGTGAAATCCTGCCGGCGCTGAAACGCTTAAAAAACAAAACAAGAGCCAGGACACAAACGCTAACGCTGTAACACTGGTTTTAAAACGCCGCGTGTGCGCAGCTGATTCACTCAGGCTCCGCCCCCTTGCCCCCGTCGCCGCCCTCTGCCGGCTCTCCACACTCCTGCTCCGGTGTCTGATTGGCTGCTTCCTGTGGGCCTGCGCTCTGATTGGCGGGCTCCTTCGCCACCTCCTGCAGGTTGTACTTGCGGAAGAGCATGTAGTCGGAGACGACGCTGACGCAGCACACGCTCTTGATGATCTCGATGATGATGCTCAGCTCAGGGTTGCTGAGGTCCACCTTGTGCAGCGGGTTCATCTTATCCACCAAACCTGAAAGCCAACAGTGAAGAAACATTCATCTTACAGAAGCAGACGCTACCGTGCTCCTAAACCAAAGCATTCATTCAAGAGATTCGTTCAAAAGCGCTGATTCATTCTGTACTGAAACAAGTGAGGCGTCTATGAGTGAGTCATTGAATCAGTCACTCAGTGTGATGATGATGATGATGATGATGGTGACGTACCAGCGACGGCTTTGATGACGTCGTCTCTCTTGCTGTGGCTGCTGTTGCGGGCTTTAAAGCAGATCTGGTACGTGGCCCGCAGCGGCGCCTTGAACCAGCGCTCCAGATACTCGCTCAGGAACTTCTCCATGTCCTCTGGGAACGCCCGACACGTGCCGCTGACCGGCAGCATGCGCAGGATCACACGAGACTTCCTCTTCTTCGTCTGGTGCAGGTCCGACAGGATGTGGTGAACCAGCTCCTCTGGGTCTGGGGGGGGGGGGGGGGGGAGAGAGAGGGGGAGAGAGAGAGAGAGAGAGAGGGGGAGAGAGAGAGAGAGAGAGAGAGAGAGAGAGAGAGAGAGAGAGAGAGAGAGAGAGAGAGAGGGGGAGAGAGAGGGGGAGAGAGAGAGAGAGAGAGAGAGAGAGAGAGAGGGAGAGAGGGGGAGAGGGGGAGAGGGAGAGAGAGAGAGAGAGAGAGAGGGGGAGAGGGAGAGAGAGAGAGAGAGAGAGAGAGAGAGAGAGAGAGAGAGAGAGAGAGAGAGAGAGAGAGAGAGAGAGAGAGAGAGAGAGAGAGAGAGAGAGAGAGAGAGAGTGTTATCACCTGTTCAGGCGGAGCTCATGTGACTCTCTGATCTGACTCTCTCACCGACTCCATGCGTGCGAATGAACACGACGTTATTGGCTCCGCTGTCGACCGCACTGAACCTCTGCTGACGCTTCTTCATCGACGACTGAATCTGAGACACTTCCTTCTTCAGCGCAGCCTCTGCGTCTTCATCACCCTCCTCATCCTCACTGAGGCAGTCTGTGGGCTGCAACACACACACACTACTGTAACACATCTCTATAGCGCACTACTGTAACATCTCTATAGCGCACTACTGTAACACATCTCTATAGTGCACTACTGTAACATCTCTATAGCGCACTACTGTAACATCTCTATAGCGCACTACTGTAACACATCTCTATAGTGCACTACTGTAACATCTCTATAGCGCACTACTGTAACATCTCTATAGTGCACTACTGTAACACATCTCTATAGTGCACTACTGTAACATCTCTATAGTGCACTACTGTAACACATCTCTATAGCGCACTACTGTAACATCTCTATAGCGCACTACTGTAACACATCTCTATAGCGCACTACTGTAACATCTCTATAGCGCACTACTGTAACACATCTCTATAGCACACTACTGTAACACATCTCTATAGCGCACTACTGTAACATCTCTATAACACACTACTGTAACACATCTCTATAGTGCACTACTGTAACATCTCTATAACACACTACTGTAACATCTCTATAGCGCACTACTGTAACACATCTCTATAACACACTACTGTAACACATCTCTATAGTGCACTACTGTAACATCTCTATAACACACTACTGTAACATCTCTATAGCGCACTACTGTAACACATCTCTATAGCGCACTACTGTAACACATCTCTATAACACACTACTGTAACATCTCTATAGCGCACTACTGTAACACATCTCTATAGCGCACTACTGTAACATCTCTATAGTGCACTACTGTAACATCTCTATAGCGCACTACTGTAACATCTCTATAGCGCACTACTGTAACACATCTCTATAGCGCACTACTGTAACACATCTCTATAACACACTACTGTAACACATCTCTATAGCGCACTACTGTAACACATCTCTATAGCGCACTACTGTAACATCTCTATAGCGCACTACTGTAACACATCTCTATAGCGCACTACTGTAACACATCTCTATAACACACTACTGTAACATCTCTATAGCGCACTACTGTAACACATCTCTATAGTGCACTACTGTAACACATCTCTATAGTGCACTATTAACACATCTCTATAGTGCACTACTGTAACACATCTCTATAACACACTACTGTAACATCTCTATAGTGCACTACTGTAACATCTCTATAGTGCACTACTGTAACATCTATAACACACTACTGTAACATCTCTATAGTGCACTACTGTAACACATCTCTATAGTGCACTACTGTAACACATCTCTATAGTGCACTACTGTAACATCTCTATAGTGCACTACTGTAACACATCTCTATAGTGCACTACTGTAACACATCTCTATAGTGCACTACTGTAACACATCTCTATAGTGCACTACTGTAACACATCTATAACCACTACTGTAACCTCTATAGTGCACTACTGTAACAATCTCTATAGTGCACTACTGTAACTACATCTCTATAGTGCACTACTGTAACACATCTCTATAGTGCACTACTGTAACACATCTCTATAGTGCACTACTGTAACACATCTCTATAGTGCACTACTGTAACACATCTATAACACACTACTGTAACATCTCTATAGTGCACTACTGTAACATCTCTATAGCGCACTACTGTAACACATCTCTATAGTGCAACTACTGTAACACATCTATAACACACTACTGTAACACATCTCTATAGCGCACTACTGTAACACATCTCTATAACACACTACTGTAACACATCTCTATAGCGCACTACTGTAACACATCTCTATAACACACTACTCTGTAACATCTCTATAGTGCACTACTGTAACATCTCTATAGTGCACTACTGTAACAATCTCTATAGCGCACTACTGTAACACATCTCTATAGTGCACTACTGTAACATCTCTATAGTGCACTACTGTAACACATCTCTATAACACACTACTGTAACATCTCTATAGTGCACTACTGTAACATCTCTATAGCGCACTACTGTAACACATCTCTATAGTGCACTACTGTAACACATCTATAACACACTACTGTAACACATCTCTATAGCGCACTACTGTAACACATCTCTATAACACACTACTGTAACACATCTCTATAGCGCACTACTGTAACACATCTCTATAACACACTACTGTAACATCTCTATAGTGCACTACTGTAACATCTCTATAGTGCACTACTGTAACATCTCTATAGCGCACTACTGTAACACATCTCTATAGCGCACTACTGTAACACATCTCTATAGCGCACTACTGTAACACATCTCTATAACACACTACTGTAACACATCTCTATAGTGCACTACTGTAACACATCTCTATAACACACTACTGTAACACATCTCTATACTGCACTACAGTAACACATCTCTATAACACACTACTGTAACATCTCTATAGTGCACTACTGTAACATCTCTATAGCGCACTACTGTAACATCTCTATAGTGCAACTACTGTAACATCTCTATAACACACTACTGTAACATCTCTATAGCGCACTACTGTAACATCTCTATAGTGCACTACTGTAACATCTCTATAACACACTACTGTACATCTCTATAACACACTACTGTAACATCTCTATAGTGCACTACTGTAACATCTCTATAGCGCACTACTGTAACACATCTCTATAGTGCACTACTGTAACATCTCTATAGCGCACTACTGTAACATCTCTATAGTGCACTACTGTAACATCTCTATAACACACTACGTAACATCTCTATAGTGCACTACTGTAACATCTCTATAGTGCACTACTGTAACACATCTCTATAGTGCACTACTGTAACACATCTCTATAGCGCACTACTGTAACACATCTCTATAGTGCACTACTGTAACATCTCTATAGCGCACTACTGTAACACATCTCTATAACACACTACTGTAACACATCTCTATAGCGCACTACTGTAACATCTCTATAGCGCACTACTGTAACATCTCTATAGCGCACTACTGTAACATCTCTATAGTGCACTACTGTAACACATCTATAACACACTACTGTAACACATCTCTATAGCGCACTACTGTAACATCTCTATAGCGCACTACTGTAACATCTCTATAGTGCACTACTGTAACACATCTCTATAGTGCACTACTGTAACATCTCTATAGCGCACTACTGTAACATCTCTATAGCGCACTACTGTAACATCTCTATAACACACTACTGTAACATCTCTATAGCGCACTACTGTAACATCTCTATAGTGCACTACTGTAACACATCTCTATAACACACTACTGTAACATCTCTATAGCGCACTACTGTAACATCTCTATAGTGCACTACTGTAACATCTCTATAGTGCACTACTGTAACATCTCTATAGCGCACTACTGTAACATCTCTATAACACACTACTGTAACATCTCTATAGTGCACTACTGTAACATCTCTATAGCGCACTACTGTAACATCTCTATAGCGCACTACTGTAACACATCTCTATAGTGCACTACTGTAACATCTCTATAGCGAACTACTGTAACATCTCTATAGTGCACTACTGTAACATCTCTATAGTGCACTAAAGTAACACATCTCTATAGTGCACTACTGTAACATCTCTATAGCGCACTACTGTAACACATCTCTATAGTGCACTACTGTAACATCTCTATAGCGCACTACTGTAACATCTCTATAGTGCACTACTGTAACATCTCTATAGTGCACTACTGTAACATCTCTATAGTGCACTACTGTAACATCTCTATAGCGCACTACTGTAACACATCTCTATAGTGCACTACTGTAACATCTCTATAGCGCACTACTGTAACATCTCTATAGCGCACTACTGTAACATCTCTATAGCGCACTACTGTAACATCTCTATAGTGCACTACTGTAACATCTCTATAGTGCACTACTGTAACATCTCTATAACACACTACTGTAACATCTCTATAACACACTACTGTAACACATCTCTATAGTGCACTACTGTAACATCTCTATAGTGCACTACTGTAACATCTCTATAGTGCACTACTGTAACACATCTCTATAGTGCACTACTGTAACATCTCTATAGTGCACTACTGTAACATCTCTATAGTGCACTACTGTAACACATCTCTATAGCGCACTACTGTAACATCTCTATAGCGCACTACTGTAACATCTCTATAGCGCACTACTGTAACATCTCTATAGTGCACTACTGTAACATCTCTATAGTGCACTACTGTAACATCTCTATAGTGCACTACTGTAACATCTCTATAGCGCACTACTGTAACATCTCTATAGTGCACTACTGTAACATCTCTATAGCGCACTACTGTAACACATCTCTATAGCGCACTACTGTAACATCTCTATAGTGCACTACTGTAACACATCTCTATAGTGCACTACTGTAACATCTCTATAGCGCACTACTGTAACATCTCTATAGCGCACTACTGTAACATCTCTATAGTGCACTACTGTAACATCTCTATAACACACTACTGTAACACATCTCTATAGCGCACTACTGTAACATCTCTATAGCGCACTACTGTAACATCTCTATAGCGCACTACTGTAACATCTCTATAGTGCACTACTGTAACATCTCTATAACACACTACTGTAACACATCTCTATAGTGCACTACTGTAACATCTCTATAGCGCACTACTGTAACACATCTCTATAACACACTACTGTAACATCTCTATAGCGCACTACTGTAACATCTCTATAGCGCACTACTGTAACATCTCTATAGCGCACTACTGTAACATCTCTATAGCGCACTACTGTAACACATCTCTATAGCGCACTACTGTAACACATCTCTATAACACACTACTGTAACACATCTCTATAAAGCACTACTGTAACACATCTCTATAACACACTACTGTAACACATCTCTATAGCGCACTACTGTAACATCTCTATAACACACTACTGTAACATCTCTATAGCGCACTACTGTAACATCTCTATAGCGCACTACTGTAACATCTCTATAGCGCACTACTGTAACATCTCTATAACGCACTACTG